TACTACTACTACTATTTCTTCTGCTACTACCACTACTACCTCCACTACTACTACTACTACTACTACTACTACTACTACTACTACTACTGTCGTCAGCGTGAAGTGCTAGCGACCTTGTCATTCGACAACATTGCGATAGCGCAACACATTTGATGCTCTCTGATGCGGCAAACTTGAAGTGACACGCACCCGCAATACTTGCGGCTGAGGGCAAGCACTACTGTAAAGATTCCAACGAACAAGAAGCATTTGGCTTTTGACTCGACCATGACCTTGGGCCACGATGATGCTAGGAAAAATTGCCAAGGATACCAAACATGTGCTCACGTGCTCTGAATTGAGGGCAGCCCTTTTGTCAAGAGGACGGAGCATGCTACAGTACCTGTGATCTTGGTCTCAGCTGTGGCTGTGCGGAACGACCTTCTGCGAAAGAACAGCTGACCTCAGCACAACAGTTCTGTGCGCGGAGCTTAGTCTGAATAACGGAGAACCCACTCACCATGCTTGCCGAACTCGATGCTTCGCACTGCACCACGTTGCTGCACCTCGTCCACTGTTTCTGAGAGGTCTGCAGGTTGATTCATCAGCTTCCAGGCGGGGTGCTTTCCATCTTCCCAGCGAATGAACCACGCAGGTTCGGAGTCTCTGGAATCTTGTCGCCCATGTATAAGTTCATAATATTCGTCTATATCGCTGAAATCGTCCTCATCCCGCTTGCCAGAGATGCTGAGTATGGCAACAGACCGATGTCTGTTAGAGTTCAGCATGTTGGAAAGACTTCTCGGCAGACCTTCGTGCTGCCATGCACCGCTAGGCCATTCCACAAACCATGAGCCCGATGGACCGAAAGCAACGACTGACAAACGTCCGCTGTTTTGTATGGCATTCGTGAAGCTGTCTGGGCCAACCCAGCTTGCTGTACCATCGCTGAACTGCACGTAGTAGTTGTCTGAATCTGGGCTCAGTGCCACCAGTGTGGCATGCGACTGATGATACCCCCGGCTATTGATCTTGTTGTACAGTAAGTTTGGGATACCAGACCAGGAATGGCCCTTGGCACGGTCCCAAAGTGTAATGTATCCAGACCTCCCGAGAGCCACCTGTAGCGCTGCCCTGTCAAAGTACTGAAGCAGGTGGTCTTGCTCCGTGCAGCACGCCCAAATTCTTGGGCCTCGCCGCTCCTCGGCAAGATACTTCTCCTGGCGACGCTCCTCTTCTTCGCGCTTCCGTTTCCGCTCTTCCAATCGTTGTTGTTCCGCTCGTTCCTGTTCAAGCTTTTGCAGCCGCTCCTCTTCTTTTCTGCGAGCTTCTTTTTCAGTCCGCTCTTGAATTTGCCAAGACTGTGCATCAATGAGCTTCTTCTGCACCTCCAACTTGGCTATCTGCTCCGCAAGCCTTTCTGATTCCCGCTTTAATACGCCACCATGGACAGCATCGTCATCCTTCCACGCTTGGTCCGGTGCTTCTTGCATGCGCAGTTTTCTACATCTTGCCCAGGCTGGATCATACCTCCAGTAGCTTTTCACCTCCTGCAGCACAAATGGTGGCACTGCTTTTTCGGAGTCTTCGAAGGACGGATAACCTCTTACATTCAAACGATAAGGAGCTGTGTTAAGTACTTTACCGAGCCGGGAAGGCTGGACGTAGCCCCTCAGCATCACGACCTTGTGCTTCACAGCGAAATGGTATGCTTTGTGATGCTTGATGCCATGACGGCTGCAGCCATATGGATCGGAAACGTCAATGACTTCGCCACTGAAGCCTTCCAAGTCGATCTCAACGATTTGCTGCTTGGATTTCTGGGTCGTGTGTTCAGCATAGTAGAGTGCCACATTTGGCGAGAGTGTAGTGTGCAAGTATTGGTTTGCAACTCCACCTTCTGCCAAAGCTTGCTCCATGGTACCTCAGCTAGACGAGCATAAAGCATGAAATCCACAGCCTCACAAGTTAGTGTCATGTCGAGAAACGATCGGCGGCAGGATCCCATGCCCGCAGGCCTGCTATGACGTCCTGCCGGCAAGGCAAGGCCTCATGAGCAGAGACACGTATCCAAAAGATCTTGGACAGCCGGCACTGCGGTGCTGTGAACTGTCCTCGTCTGGCCGCAATGCTCGGTAAACATACCGCTGCACTTCGTCGGTGCTTTGTCGCAGCGGCTCCTTTGATCTTGCAGGTATAGGCAGCTTGATAGTCAGATGATAGCCAATCTCGCATACAGAACTGAAGATCCGGTTGAATGAAGACTGGCTGGCTTCTCCTAAATCAGCCTAAAACACGCGCCTTCGGAAGCTCCCCTTTTTCGCTCTGAGGTTCGAGGCTCAACGCATCAACGAGGCTTTAGCAACCTTTAAGCCTTGGCCGAAAGAGCCAAGCTTCGGAATAGGATCCGTAGTATGCTCCTGCAGTCGCCATCGTTGCCGGCACGACTTGGAGTGGAGACGGGCTGCCGTTTGGCTTTAGGGTTTATGGTGAGGCATGCCGCTCGTACTCCCACCTAAAGGGTTAAGGCCTAGCAAGTTGCTGTGACAGACTTGCATTCTTGCGTCAGGCTTCTGCAGCCTGGGATGCTGCTGAGATCGTCCCTCCAGTTCTCCCCGTGCTGCATGCTGCCATGAAGTCTCTACCGTAGCCTTGAAGGAAAATGGCTGCCGCATCCGAAAAAGAGACTGCCTGACCTTACGAAATGAGTGAATCAGGTTGCGTTAAAGGCAGCATCCTCATTGAGACAGAATTCCGGCAGCTGAAGTCACACTTCCCACCTCCTTGTAGATGCTCCGACCACGCTTGAAGCCACACCTCCGTGCAGGTGTCGGCATGCTTGCGGACACCCTCATCATGATGGAACTGTCCCCATGCCTCAGCTGTTTGTACCCAAGCGCTCTGGAACGCCAAAAAATAAACCTAATCCCCAACCTCAGTTCACTTATCCCGTACCCTCGCAACTGCAATCCCAAATCACGAAACCACAAAGCAACCCCTTCAGCTGCGATCCCAACCACCAAACCCAAACCCAAACAAACAAACAAACAAACAAACTCTCGACCTAAATTTGGACCCCGATTTGCCAAGATCCCAAGCCCCCGACAAGTATGCTAAACCTCTAGACTCTAGACTCCGAAAAGCCTTAAAAATCAAAAGCACTTTAGCCTAACCCCAGACCTGACAAACCTAAATCCCCCAAAATCCTCCACTCTTGACCTGCAAACCCCGAAACCCAAACTCTGAACCCTAAACCCTGGCCTTCAACCTTGCAGTCGTTCCTGTAGGCCCGAATCGGCGGGCAAAGGGGGCCGACGCGAAGCGTCGTGCCTGGGCACTTTCGAAACGGCTGCGGCCTTGCCCCTTTTCACGGTGAAGGGTTTAGGGTTTGAGGCTTAGGCTTTGGGTTTAGGGCTTGGGGTGTGGGAAACTATAAGGCTTCGAGCTGCAATCCAGATGCTAAATGCCCGGTATGGACCCCACTTCCTCCGCCCGATGATGAGAGAGAATCTAGCCGGCACAGCTGCCTTTTTCCAAGAAGATGCTGCAGCATTGCAGGCCTAAACACGTCCATGACGGGTTGAAACAACGGAAACTCGTAATTACAGCAGCACGCTCTTATGCCACGAACCTTCCTGCCCCAAGAAGCAATATAATTGCTCTGTATGTAGAAAACCCTGTCACACAACCACGCCGCAGCTTTCCACACTCCACGGGCAAGTCGTATGCAGAGCTCCATGAGCCTGCTTGCCTCTATGCTGGACTTGCCTATGTGACTTCGTGAGCCAAAGGCGGGAACAAGCCTCATTGGGCTGGGGGGTGCCGCTACGCCACTGAGCCGCTAAGCAGAAAGTCCGACCCGTCATCGTACACGACATGGCCGGGATCACCCAGGGATGCCTGTACAGCAGCATGGACCTTCGAAGGCTTAAAAACTTGCTGCTGCAGGCCTGTACACAGTCATGCTCGCGCAAAGATTAGCACGAAGCTCGCTGCAAACTCACTAAACAATCGTTCGTAAAGCTTGCGAGCGGCTCCTGTACACCTCGCCCCAAGTAAAAAAAACGAGAGGGGCCCTTTACATGCCTTCCATGCTGGAGGTTGGCTTCATGACATGGCAGCGTGGAGGTGCAGTGCTTGAGGTTGAAGGAGATTGGCGTGAGCATGTCCAGCTCCCTGAGGCCGTGCCCTTGACATAGGCAATGAGCATGGACCCCGGAGAGCTAAAGAGATCCCTTACTCTGCTTCTTGCGAAGCTTCGCCAACTTGCGATTCTCAAACCTCCGCTTGCCCAGCTCCCCATCTGCACAAAGGTGGCAGTGGAGACACTCTGCTCCCCTCAAGCCTCGGCTCTGCTTTTGAGGCCTCTGAACAGTGTAATTTTGACATCCTTTGCGATCACATACCATGCCAATCATTAAACATTCCACAAAAGGCTCCTATACCAAACTTCCACATAATGACGTTCACGAACGTGTTCGCAGACTCCTCCAAAAAAATGCAAAAAAAATATCTTCACCTAAACCCTCAACCCTAAACCCTAAACCGAATAGCCCCGAGGAGCAGCTGCCAGGCCTCCAGTACCAAGCACAAGGTCGGCAAAGCTTCGCCTCGTGCATTTTGGAGCCGAGAGACTCGGTCGGCTGCAGGGTTCCTGGGCGTCGATCTTTGGGTTTGGGGTTGCGGACGTCGATGTCTCGGGGGGGGGGAGGGGGGGCGGGGGGGTTATGAAAGTATATGAATATACCCACTAGGAAATTCAGGGAATGACGCTTTGAAAGTGTTTGGGGTTCCTGGGTGTCGAGTTCAACGGGTTCAGCACCGGTTTTCGATGGAGTTTCAGGATCTAGCTTGCTGTATTCGTTTAAGTGTGGCCGTGTTTACCACCGGTCAGGTTGGGGCCCAAGGTTTAGGTTTAGGAAACCAATAAGGGACATCAACCACTGTCCCAAATCGGTGCCTAGATTCCCATGGTCGTTGTGCTTGTGCCACTCACCGAGTGCGGTGACCCGGGAGCCGTGGCTCCTGTGTGCTCGGTTTGGAGCACATCGTCGCCTGTGGCCTCCTCTTCAAGCAACCATGAACTAGCTCCATGCATTGACTCGCCGATGAAGGTCGTGAGCAAGCTTGAATTACTGCCACCGCGCGTCGATGCCAATTGCCAAGCTGTACAAGACCCCCGCATCATGGATGCGCCTGGTGAGGACGTAGTGGATTCTGTACCTTGGCGTTGCTAGCGAAAGGACGGCTAGGTGAAGCTCGAGCAACATGCAAATATTAAATGAAGGCGTATCCCTGCACGGATTAGGTGTTGCCTTCCAGCCAGAACCTCCGGAAGTGTAGCTTGACCGCGTGTTTAGAAGTGGTTCGTAGTCGTCGTAGTAGTAGTATTAGTCGTCGTCGTCGTCGTCGTCGTAGTAGTAGTAGTAGTAGTAGTAGTAGATGATGATAGTGTAGTATTAGTCGTCGTCGCCGTAGTAGTAGTAGTAGTAGTAGTAGTAGTAGCA